TATGGTTGCTGGTACCCAGAGTGGGTCTCCGGTGAGGTTTTTTGCGTATACCGCGTCGCCTGTTTTAAAGGTTCGGTCTCTGCTTGAGGAGTTTGGGGGTTTTTCCGGGTTGTATGTGGGGTGCAGTCTGTCGAGTGGGGATCTTAATTTCCTCCCCATCAATAGTTCTGCCGGGCTTTTATTGGTTGTTGTATTCGGGGTTATGTGTTGTATAAAGAGCATTTTGTTTATTTTTTCTTGGATTTCCCCGTTTTCTATTTTTTTGGATGGTTTTTTTTGTAAATTGAACCATCCGTTCCGCCCTCCCGTTCGCCGCCGGATGTGCCGGCGCTGTCAACGCGTGTCATATCCCCCGTTCCGCTAGGAATTTTTTGAATTCCAGCGAGGTAAATTGGGGCCCGTTGTCGGATACGAGGACATCTGGGAGGCCGTGGGTTGCAAATAGTTTGCTGAGTTCTTTGGTGACGGCCTCCGTGGTGGTAGTTCTCATGTTGCTTACCTCCAACCAGTTGGAGTAAGCGTCTACCGTGATGAGGAAGGTGTGGCCTTTTGTGGGCCCGGCAAAATCTATGTGGATCCTGGACCATGGTCCCCTAGGGCTTTCCCATTCCAGGATTGGGGTGGCGGGAGGGCTGGGTCTGGTTTCCTGGCATCTGTTGCACGCTGCCACCCAGGCCTCGATTTGTTTGTCCATCCCTGGCCACCAGGCGTAACTTCTGGCCAAGGCCTTTGTCCTAACGATGCCCGGGTGCCCCTCATGAAACAATTCCAAGATGTTTCCCTGTAATTTTTCCGGAATAACAACCCGGTCCCCCCAAAGTAAACACCCCTTTTGCAATGACAGTTCCATTTGTCGGTTCCGGAATGTCCTGAAGGTCTCGTTGTCGTCTTTTTCGGGCCACCCCTTCTCTACCCAATGCAATACCCGCGCCAGACATTTGTCTTTATTAGTTTCACGGGCAATGTCTGACGCGGTTATGGGTAGATCGGGCAGAGTCTCTATGCTGAGTGTGGTCATCGTGGGTGCTGGGTCGATGTCGAAGTCTGGTAGCGGTGTGCGGCTCAGGGCGTCTGCATGGGAGATTGTCTTACCGGGTCGGTGTGTGAGCCGGTAACTGTAGGCTGCAAGGAATTCGGACCACCTTGTCATTCTAGGGGATAGGATGTTCGGGGTGGCCCTGTTCCCTGCCAGGATTCCCAGCAGCGGCTTGTGGTCGGTGAGGATGGTGAAGGCTCGGCCGTAGATGTATTCGTGGAACCTTTTGACAGCGGCAACGATGGCCAGGGCCTCTTTGTCCAGCTGACTGTAGTTCCTTTCCGGTTTGGTGAGGGTTCGTGAGAAGAAGGCGATGGGTGCTTCCTTTCCGTCGGGGAGAGTGTGGCTGAGGATGGCGCCGACGCCAAAAGGTGATGCGTCGCATGTGACAGCTAGCGGTAGGGTCTCGTTGTATTGGATGAGGACGGCATCTGAAGTGAGCAGGTCCTTGGTTTTGTTGAAGGCAGCTTCCTCGCGTTTCCCCCAAGTCCATGGAGCCGCCTTGTCCAGGAGCCTATGCAAAGGCTCTGCCGCGGTCGCCTTCTGGGGCAGGAAAACATTGTAAAAGTTAAGTAGTCCTAGAAATGCCTGTAGTTCCGTTTTATTCTTTGGTCTGGGGGCTTCCTTGATCGCTCTGATTTTTTCCTCGGTTGGGTGAATTCCGTGCCGATCTAGGAGGTACCCCAGGAACTCGACTCTCTCGCTGTGTAATTGGCATTTTTCTTTCTTAACCTTCAGCCCCGCATTTTTGAATTTGGTTAGGACCTCCCTCAGGCGACCCTCTAGTTCTTTCTGGTTGGTTGCCGACACCAGTACGTCGTCGAAGTAGGGCACCACCCCCTTGATTCCTTGCAGGAGTCTCTCCATGAGGCTCTGGAATATTCCTGGGGCCATGCTGACTCCAAACTGGAGTCTCTTACAGCGGAAAGCCCCCCGGTGGGTTACTATGGTTTGCGCCTCGGCCATTTCTGCGTCGACCGGCAGCTGCTGATAGGCTTGTGCCAGGTCGAGCTTCGCAAAGACCTTGCCTCCCCCCAGTGAGTGTAGGAGGTGCTGCACTACTGGGACGGGGTAGGCGCTTTGCTGTAAGGCGCAATTTAGGGTGGCCTTATAGTCCCCGCAAATTCTCACTGAACCATCGGGCTTGACGGGGGTGACTATGGGGGTCTCCCACCGGGCATGGTCGATTGGCTCGAGGACCCCTTGTTTGACGAGCTTGTCTATTTGCTTGTCGATTTTTGGCCGGAGTGCAAACGGCACTCGCCGTGGTTTTAGGCGAATGGGGGGAACGCTGGGGTCTAGGCTGAACGAAATAGGGGGCCCTCGGTACTTGCCTAGGGTGCCGTCGAACACTTCCTGGAAGTCTCTCGCGAGCTGCTCTTCCCAGTCGGCCTCCCCGACGTGGTCGATTCCCGTCACCTCGATTCCGAGCGGCGTGAACCACTGCAGTCCCAAAAGGCTAGGGCGGTCTCGGTCCACAATCGTCAGGGGAAGCCTTGCTGTTCGCCCCTTGAAAGTAACCTCGAATTGGCCTGTTCCGACTACCGGTATACGATTCCCTTGGTAGTCCTTGAGGATCAGGCTCTGGCTTTCCAGCCCCTTTCTGTGGATGGCGGGCACCAGGCGCTTTATTTCCCGCCATGCAACCATGGAGAGGTAGGACCCGGAGTCCACCTCCATTTTGCACGGCTCGCCCTCAATGCCCACCTCCACATATACTTTCCGGGCGTCTGTGCTGGAGGAGTGGCCGATGACGACCGTCTGGTGGGTTTTCTCTCTCCGCCTGTTCCTGCCATCTCGTCGGCCCCGTCCGTCTCGGTTCCATCGGCTCTCGGCTTGGCGGTCTCTGGGCCTGGGGGGGGTGCCGTCTCGTCTCCGGTTGCTGCCGTCTCATCGCCGGGGGCTGTAGTTCTTCTTGAGTCGGCAGACTCGGGCGATGTGGCCTCTCTTGTCGCAGTGCCGGCATATTGCGTCGAAGAATCGGCACTCTGCTCGAGGGTGGTCACCTCCGCACCCGGCGCACGGTTGCCCCGACTTACGACTCCGTCGATCGCGCCGGTCCCGGTCCGCCTGGAGTCGATGCACGTCCTCTTCCCCGTCGGTGGTGTCGGAGGCGGAGTCGAGGTCGCCATGGTGTGTGGTGGTCTCTTGGCGGCTTGCTTCGGAGCGCGTCTCGGTTGCTGTGCCTGCCTCGGCGGTCGCGCTTCGGTCCCCGGTGTCGGATCTCCGCATTCGGGCCGCTGACTTTCTGGTGGCCTCGGCTGCGGTGGCGTCAGCGAGGACGTCGGCGAGGGCGATGTCGCCTTTTGCCATCAATCGGCTCTGGAGGACTGGGTCTCTGAGCCCCAGGACGACGCGGTCTCGGAGAGCCTCGTCCATGTCCGTAAAGCCACACATGCCTCCGAGATTCCGCAGGTCGGCCACGAAATCTCCGATGCTCTCGCCCGCTCGCTGGTCTCGCCGATAGAAGTCGTGCCGCCGGATGAGAGTGGGCACGTCGGGGGCATAGTGGTTTCGGAGTAATGGCGCGAGGTCAGCCCAGTCCATTGTCTTGACGTCCTCTGGTTTCGCGAGGGCTTTAGCCATTTGGAACACTGCGGGCCCGCAGTGCGTGAGGAAAACAGCCCTTTTCTTCTGCCCGTTTGCATCCTTCAGGTTGCTACTTTCGAGGAACATCAAGAATCGGTCGGTGTACGATTCCCAATCCTCAGCAGCCGGGTTAAAAGGTGCGGGCGGTGCGATGCTGGCCATCTCATCGGTCTCGTTTCCTCCGGACACGTGTACGATGGGGATCAGGCTTGGTATCCCACCTTCGTCGCCAGTGTTGTGGCCGGCGCAAGGAAGGAGACTCGGAGCCAGTGACTTAGTTCAGCTCATTTATTGGTCCTGAGATCGGCTCGGGTTCCGTAAGGAAAAGCGGCGGCTTTTATTCCTTGGCCGCGGCGGCTGCGGCCAATGGCACCGCTTTGAATCTCCTGCGATTAGTTTCCACCAATCGCGGGAGATTCGTGGCGGGCCAATCAGCGCGGCTCGCTCGGCCAATCAGCTCACCGTGCGTCTTGACCAATCGCTGTGCGGTTCTACAAGAATGGTAATGACCGTACAGAACAGTTACTACTACTTGAAAGGCAATGGAATTAAGAAATTGAAAGTTACATAGTTGTAACAGTTTAAAAAAAGAAAGGAAGAAAGAATATTCACTGGAAAATTACAACAGAAACAGATTGTGATGTATTTATTTACATCTATGGAGATTCTTACTCATCCAGGTCATGGTTGTCCCAAAGATCCTTTTTTTCAGGAGGCAACTGGACTTTCTTGTTTTTTTAGATCTCCAAATGGCCTCAATGAATGCAAATGACTAGTTCTCTGCAAGGATGATAAATCCTTCCATTTCCCACCATCCAGTCAGAGCTGAAGAAGTTTTTTGGATGAGAAGCAAAATTCTTCAAAGAAAAACAAGAAAGTTACCTCCTGAAAAAAGCACCTTTGGAATTGTATGATATGATATATCTCACTAAACCATTATTTATTTGTTTAAATCATATATTTTGAAGAATCTGGAAACATGTCAGGGTCATTGTTTTATTTGAAGTCAGAACGTTATTGAATTTCAGAAAAGTATAAAATACAATGAACTAGGGAAAATATTTTAAAGGGAAAGTGCGGGTGGGAAGTAAGGAAAAAGCAAAATTAGGAGTGCAGATCAAAGGAGCAAAAGGTATAGAAAAAAGTAATTTTCCATAAACCAGTGAATAACCATTAAAATATATGGTGGCATCTATAAAACAAAAGACCTCTTAAATATTTCTGGTTTTATGATTTTCTGAAGCCTAATAAGACTTCCTCCTGTTTGTTCTTCCCTGTCTTAATCATTTGTTCACTGATGCTTAAAAGAGTCAGACATAACGGACAGGGAAACCTTTACTTTTTGCTTAAAAGTGTTTTTGTATCTTTTGGAAAGGAGATTGCCTGTCTTTCCTGGCTTTTTGCTCTCAGGCAATAGATTTGTGCTTATCCTGACCTAGAAGAATTTGCTGCTTATTTTAAATTAGAAATTAAGGTGCATCATTTTCTGAGATCTTTCTCAGAAAATCATCTTTGGCTGTATATGATCAGGAAAGGAGAAATTAGTTGCTAAATTCATAATGAATCCATGCATTTCCTTTCTAATTTTATACATCTGGACTCCCAAAATGTTTTATTAACTATGGTTTTCATTACACCACTGTAACTAGGCTTTGGGATTTCCCTTCAACGAGAAATAGATGTGCTCTAATGATGAAAGGAAGAGGCCTTCAAGCATTGCAATGTACTGAACAGCATTCCTACATATGTAAAATGCAAATAGGTATGTAGAAACACAAGTAAAACCCTAAGGTTTAAGGATGGAGATTTTAAACATCCTCTCACAGAATCCTCTAGTCTAGTTCTTCTGCCCCTTGGAGTAATGGTGTGTAATTCTCACTATTATATCTTCTAAGAGGCCCTATACCTGGCTGTTGTCTCCTAATCCTGATGCACGAGAGAGGGCTTCCATAACCTGGTTACTTTCTATCAATTACAATATAAAAATGATAAAGTTGTGCCATTTGCTGGGCATAGAGTTTGACACGGTCAATTAGGTGTAATTCTTTTACCTTTTAGTAACAGGCCAATCTTACAAGAGTTAAATAAAATTAGAATATAAATAGAAAAGAAAATAGAAAAGAAGATAAAGAGAAAAAAACCTAACTTAATTTCATGTGAACAAAATAGCAATAGCAATAGCACTTAGACTTATATACCACTTTACAGTGCTTTGCAGCCCTGTCTAAGCGGTTTACAGAGTCAGCATATTGCCCCCAACAATTTTGGCTCCTCATTTTATCCACCTCGGAAGGATGGAAGGCTGAGTCAGCCTTGAGCCTGGTGAGACTCGAACTGCCAAACTGCAGGCAGCCAGTAGTCAGCAGAAGTAGAGTGCAGTACTGCACTGTAACCACTGCGCCACCATGGCTTATAATGGATATACCCAAGGTTAAGAGAGAAAAATAACTCAAAGTTACAACGCCACTGAATAAAGTGACATATGACAGTTTTTTACACTTATGACTCTTACAGCATACCTGTTGAGGTAATTCCCCATTAGGAGAATGAACGCATACAGGGAGTTGTATTTGAGAGAAGTGTTTGAATAATACACACACAGCACACAGATACACTGTACAGTAAATATACAATAAAAATATATATTTTTACTTCCAGAAAGTTTAAGCAAAGTTCAAATACAGTCCAAAGTCAATCACAGGTAAGATCAGTCAGTTTTTAGTCCAGGAATAATCCAATATCAAAGTCCAGTGTCAAAAACAGTTCAGTATCAGACTTACATCAAATCCATGAATATCAGTCAGTTAGAAGAAACGGCAATATTCTCCAACAGAAGGAAAAACAGAGAGACTCATTCACACTCCCTTCTGAGACTAAGACTAAACAACCCAGGTTTCTGGCTCCATCTTATGGCTGTTTGAGAAACCACACCTAATTACAATTTTGCATTTTCTTAAAGATACAGTTTTAAAATATCTATCCTGGTTTATATATTTCCAACCCAAATACCTGTTAGGTGACTCATATTCCTAACATTCTCCCCTTTTGGGTAGGACAATATATACAACCTTACATTCTAAGTCCATAATCCTCACAGCAAGCTTTATGCTTTATAGAGCCTTGGGCCTTTGTAAAATGATCTGCTATATTGTTTTCTGACATATGGTATTCTAGCTTAATCATCTTACTTTGCACACATTGTCTCACATTTACATGCCTTAAATCTGTGAGTTTCATTCTTGTCTTAACAGCAATATTTGAAGCCATCTGTATTGCTGATTGATTATCTTCATAAACAACAATAGAATCTGTTACATTAATTCCCATATCAATCAATAATTGTTTATACAAAACTAAATCTGTACATAGTAAAGACAAACATGAGAATTCAGCCTCCATTGTTGACAAATTTAGATGTTTCTATCTAATAGACCTCCATCCAATCAATGCCTTTCCCAATAATACTATAGTATCCGATGTAGATCTTCGTGTATTTATGTCTGTAGCAAAACTTGCATCAGCATATGCAGTTAAACTCAGTTCATCTTTAGGCTCCAAATACAATGCATAATGCATTGTTTGTTTCAGATATCTTAACACACGTTTAGCAGCTTGCCAGTGCCTTTCAGTCAGCTCAGCGTTAAATCTCGCTAATTGATTAACACTGTATGCAATATCTGGCCTTGACCAATTACTGAGATAAGATAAACTACCAATCAAGGACTGATAAATGTTCTTATCAAAAATAGGACTTTGAACATCACTATGGCTAAACTCCTGGCTCATTGGTGTTTTAGCCGGCTTACAAAGTTCTATTTTAAAACTTTTTAGTAATTGGTTAATTTTATCTGCTTGTGAGATTTTGTATTCTCCCCTAGTTCTGTCTATCTTTAAACCAAGATATTGTTTGATTTCTCCTAACTGTTTTATCTTAAATTTCTTCTCTAACAGTGAAATTATTTTAGTAGCTTCTTGTTCAGTTTTGGTGATTAATGCTACGTCATCAGTAAATAATAGCAACAATGAAATTACACCATTACTTTCCTTTTTAAACAAACATGGATCAGCCATGCCAGCTACAAAACCTATCTTTGTTAATTCTTTAACTATACATTGGTTCCACTCATATCCTAATTGCTTCAAACCATAAAGACTCTTTTTCAATCTCCAGCAATCATTATTATCAGTATTATCATTTTTAAGACCGAAAGGTTTCTTTAAATATATAGTGTGTTGCAATGGTGCATGCAGATATGCCATCTTTACATCCAAATGATTTATAATGTATTTCTCCTTAGCTGCCCACATGAATGCTGCCCTGAATGTAGTAGCCTTCAGACTAGGTGCAAATACCTCATCATAGTCATTTGCTGTCTGATTAAACCCTTGTGCTACTAACCTGGCTTTATGGGTAACAGTCCCATCTACACCTGTCTTTAGCCTGTATATCCATTTACACCCTATGGCATGTTTACCTGGTGGTAACTTAACATTTTCGTATACCTCCAATTTTTTTAATGATTCCAGTTCCTTATCCATTGCTTCCTGCCAAGCAGCCTGATCCTTAGCAGGATACAGTTTTAGTTCACTATAATCACTTGGAACTATATTCACTTGGCATACAACACTAGCCTGATATCTATCAGGTGGTTGTGTTACTGTGGTTGAACATCTTGATAATACAGGGCTAACTGGTAGACTTTCCTGTGCCACCTGCTCCTGTTCTTCTACCTCCTCCTGTGCCTGTTCTCCTACTTCCTCCTGTTCTTCCTCTTTAATGGCTATTTGTGGTTTACTGATTTTATCTTTAGGGACTATTTGGGTGTCAATAATAATATCATTACTGGATTCCCGTTCCAGTTTATCCCATCCAGTGTGCTCTAGAAATGTTGCACTAGCACTAAAATAAACATGAGCTGTGCCTTGATCCCAAAATCTAAATGATCTATGGTTGGCTTCATAATCCACAAAAAATAACTTCTTAGCTCTATGTTACCCTTTCAGTCTTACTTGTGAGGGAATATGCACCCATGCTGGTGCTCCAAATGTGTGTAAATAACTTAAATTTGGTTTTCTGCCATGCCAAAGTGTGAATGGCAACTCATCAGTTGTTGTATTAACTACATTGTTTAACACATGATTACTACATATTATGGCCTTACCCCACAGTGTTTCAGGTAAACCTGAGTCAGATAACATAGTGAGAGCGATGGCTTGTAATGTTTGCCCTCTTCGTTCTACAAACGAGTTATGTTGTGGTCTGTAAGGTGCAGAATATTTATGCTCAACACCAGCCAATTTCAACATAGTTTGGAATCTTTTGTTAACAAATTCAGTCCCATTATCAGTAACTAAAGTAATTATTTTACTCCTCATTTTTCTCTCTGCAAACCTTAGCCAGTTAAAGAAATGTTGGAATGTTTCTATTTTGTTTTTCATAAGATAGCAGAAACCATATCGTGAGTAATGGTCTATAATACTCAAAATATAGCAGGTACCTCCTAAACTTGGTTTTTTAGGACCAATTATGTCAGCAAAAACAACCTCTAAAGGTTCTTTGATCTTAAACCCATTCAGTCTGTTTGCAGGAGTAACCTTACTCTTCTCTTGGCTACAAGCAGTACAGTTTAAATACTTGCTACAGGGTTTCAATTTTACTCCCTCTGACAATTCAACAGTTTGTTTGAGCATTTTGAAATTAATGTGCCCCAGACGTCTATGTAGTAAATGTATACATTCATCATGTGGCTTAACATTGTTATAAACTGAGTTAGCCATCTGCAACTGGTCATCATGCATTACATATAAATCATTCTCTAAATTAGCAGGAACACTTTTACCCTCTTTCTCTATTATACAGTTATCTCCCCTAAAGGTTACTACATAACCAATATTAACTAAAGCCCTTACTGATAACAAATTAAATTTCAGTTTAGGTACATATAACATAATTAAATGTTCGTTTATACAAGAACAATATGCAGTACCTTGACCTGATGCTTTAATCTTCCATCCATTTGCCAATGATACATGTTGTTTACTCGTGGACATCTTTACAAACCTTTTTCTATCTTAGGTAATGCACTGCGATGCTCCACTATCAACAACCCACAAATCATGGTTGAATTGCTAGACATAGCTACACTAACATTCTTCTTACCTTCTGGTGTTTGCCAGTATTCTGTTGTTTTCCTTTCTTACAGAATCTAGCTATATGTCCCCTAGCCCCACAAGAAAAACATTTCCTAACAGTATAGGCAGTTGAAGACAAATCCTCTTCTTGTGGTTGTTCCTTCCTCAGTTGGTCCCTATCCAGCCGTCTTCTTGCTTCTTCTAACAACCTTCCACTTATGTCAGTCAATGTCAGTTTAGCTCTGGGCAGGACTTCCAGTGAAGATACATAGTCATCATAACTTTCATCCAATGAGGAAAAAATGATGTAAACTTGATGTAGCTCAGAAAAAATCAGTTCCTTTTCATGTAGCTCTTGAAAAATTCTTTTCATGAAGTTCAAATGAGCTAACATATCTCCACCTTTCAGAAGATGTGCTCTAAACAGTTTACATGTAAGATGTATGTGTGCACCTACACTGTCACAAACATAAATCCTCTTCAAATTCTCCCAACACCTAGCAGCAGATTCTTCTCCATGAATATGGACTAGCTGCTGGTCACTCAGTGTTCATCCAATTATACAAAGAACTTGTTCATTGTTCCATTTAAAGTCAGCAAGCTTCTTGGTATCATCCTCATTATTTGGATCCCAAGCATTTACATCTGGTGGATCTTGAACTACATTCCATAAACCTTCTCTACGCAGAAGTAGACTGCACTTCATAGACCAGGAAACATAGTTTGTTCCATCCAACTGGGTTATCAGTGATAGACTTGTTGAAGTGACTTGTGCCATCTTTATCAGGATAGTAACCACAATTTAACACTAAACAGCTGTCTGTATACAGTACTGTGTATTCACACTAACTCTCAGTTATCTGAGCCTGGTATGGCCTGGGCCCATAACCAATGTTGAGGTAATTCCCCATTAGGAGAATGAGCGCATACAGGGAGTTGTATTTGAGAGAAGTGTTTGAATAATACACACACAGCACACAGATACACTGTACAGTAAATATACAATAAAAATATATATTTTTACTTCCAGAAAGTTTAAGCAAAGTTCAAATACAGTCCAAAGTCAATCACAGGTAAGATCAGTCAGTTTTTAGTCCAGGGATAATCCAATATCAAAATCCAGTGTCAAAAACAGTTCAGTATCAGACTTACATCAAATCCATGAATATCAGTCAATTATAAGAAACGGCAATATTCTCCAACAGAAGGAAAAACAGAGAGACTCATTCTCACTCACACTCTCTTCTGAGACTAAGACTAAACAACCCAGGTTTCTGGCTCCATCTTATGGCCGCTTGAGAAATCACACCTAATTACAATTTTGCATTTTCTTAAAGATACAGTTTTAAAATGTCTATCCTGGTTTATATATTTCCAACCCAAATACCTGTTAGGTTACTTATATTCATAACAATCCCCATGGTTATGTGATCAAAATTCAGATGCTTGGTAACTGACTCATATTTATGATGGTCACAGTGTCCCTGGAGCCACAGTGTCCCTTTCATGACCTTCTGACAAGCAAAGTCAATGAGGGAGCCAGATTCACTTAACAATCATGTTACTAATTTACCAACTGCAGTGATTCACTTAATAACTGTGGCAAGAAAGTTCATTAAATGGGGCACAATTCACTTAACGAATGTCTCACTTAGCAGTAGAAATTTTGGTCTCAGTTGTGGTCATAAGTCGAGGACAGCAATAATGTAAGCAATATAATTAAAATGTTAAAATATTTTTAAGCAATATTTAAAAAAGTGACTGGGGCAGTCCCTCTCTTTATTTAATTTACTTCTTAGCATTATGAAGAAAAATTGGACAAGGGGATGTTGTGTGCACCCGTTCTAGCTCCTGAAGGAAACATGGAATACAAATTTATCAAATACTAAGCTGTTTACCTATTTAGATGGAAATAACAGTGCTTTGAAATCAACTATGTCATGTTCCTACCTTGTTTTCCTGGGGATATCAATGGTTTATAACAGCTATTAGGGAATTGCAACTGAGGCATAATAACTTCTTCCTCCATTTATTCTGGAGTTCTTTTTGCCCATTTAAGAATGATGTCTCCCGAAGAGAGAGTCTTTGGGACAATTCTGCCTTTTGCTTACATATAGAAGCATATGTCTTTTAAAAAAATAAATAAGAGCATGTTAGAGCCTGCTGGCTCAAGAGGCTGGAACTAAGCTACATTCATAGCAAAGTACTACTACCATTCATGTGCAGCATTTAAGGAAAGACCATGAAATGTGAGCATTCTTCTATTTGTCCTATTAAAATATTATGTTTCCTATTCTTTTTTTTACAGTTGCAAGTCTAAAACTGTTTATATACTTTTTAGAGATGTACTAATCTCTGATTTTGTATTGTAGAATTATATTTTGGTCCAGTGCAGCATCATTGGAGAAATAGTTGCTACTGTGCTAGATCAAATGTTTCCATTATTAAAGTATATGACATTTTATGCCATAAGCAGTCTTGACCTTGTTGTTGTCTTTGCTGGTCTTTCTCTTGTTTTGTCCCTAAATCTGTTGAAGGCAGCATCCAAATTCTGTAGAGCATATTTGAAGAGAGTACTGATATACAGAGAGGAAAAGGAAATTGTTCTTGTAGCAGATATTTTTCCCTGAAGAGATACATGTATTTGGGAATGATATTGTTAATCACTGGATTTTAACAATTTAACTACAGATGTAAAAGCTTCATTTAATTTAATAAGAAAGAAAACATATGTAGCAGTCTCAGATTGAAGTAATTATTGGGAAAGAAATGAAAACTCAGTCAGCAAAGGGGTATGAGTCAACCTGGAAAAAAGGTTATAAATGTAATAAAGCAACAAGAAGGCTTTATGATGTGCAGAAAATAAGAAAGTGTTTTGCCTATATTTGCTGCCTTAAGTTAAAAATAATAAAGGCAGGATACAAACAAACAAATACCATATATGCTTTCATGGATAATCCAAACTGTAGAGTTGTAATTGCAGGAACGTTCCTATCTTGGATGGCAAACCTCAGATAAAGAATGTTTACAAGCAAATACAACTCAGGCAAACAAAGTCACTCATCTAAAGGAGGATTAGAGAGAGGAAGTAAACATATGTTAGACTTTAACTAGAGATAATTAATTGTGTTAATTACTATTATGCTAAACAGTAACGAAAGTTAAGCAGTAACCAAAGTTAACCAATGTTGGAGGGTTACTAAAAATGTGTATAAATGCAAGACTAGACTCCAATAAAGATCATCATGATTCAGTTGATCATGATCAAAACAACTTGACTGCCTCGTCATTACAACACCAAACTTGATCAATGACAAATGTGTTAAGTATTTGATATGCTACAGAATATTTTGGGTTATTTTGCTACACAAAATTATCATGGTTATTTATCTGGGAAATGTGGGTAAATTAATGAATGACTAGATTTAGTTTCCTTTACCCTTAGTCTATAATTCATGTTACATTTACATCCCATAATCTTATTAAAAATATTTTTTATTTCAAAAAAAGGTGATATTACTAAACCTTTTACTGACTACCCTGGGAAAATAATGCTGAGTCCTTATGGTCTGGCTGAATATGAAGATCTTGAAGACGCAAGATACCATTGTATAATAAATGTGAATTGTACTGGAATAAGTAGCTGGCCACATGAACATTTTCCGGTCACAGGAACAGAAATGGTGTTGGCTTCAGATGATCATGTAGTTCACTTAAGAACAAGTAAGGATCCATTCTATTTTTTCAGATATTGAGAGTGCAACAATGAATTCAGTTTGTGAACTGGTGAATAAAAAAACAGATTTCTGAAACTTAAAATATTGGCATACAATAAGCATCAAAATTAAACTTGAATATCTTACAAAATGTTAGGTAGGGTCACAAATAACATTATTAAAAATGTGCCAGATTCAGTTTTTATACATGATTATAGTATATGACTATGCTTGGGTATAGAAAATTCCAAATTATTAAATTGCAGGTGAAGCATCAAAGCTTAATCTGTTACTTTTAGTAAATATTCTTTTCCTATAGATAAGCTCATCTATTAACTTTGTAAAACAGCAAGGAAACAGATGGACTTCAGAAGCATTAAGCTCACTCACAAAGACTGAAGTGTATGCAGAACATATATTAGGACGCAGATGTAAAATGTTCCCTGTCTAGAGTCATTGTAAGAATTTGCTGTGATTCATTTCACTTTGGTCTGAAACATTAAAAATAAAAGACATGGGTCCAGTCATTGGCCATTGAACACATAGATATTGGGTGAAGTTGCTATCTTGCTAAATTACTAACTAAATAAAATAACTGACTAAATATCGGCAACATTACTACAATATTTATTTGTACACCACCAGAGTGTATGAAGGAAGTGGGTGGTTCCTAAATATGAATAATAAAGATAAATAAAACAGGGGTGGGATTCAAATTTTTTAACAACCTGTTCTGTGGGTATGGCTTAGTTGGTGGGTGTGGTTTGGTGGTCATGTGACTGGGTGGGGTGGCCAACTCAATGTCATTCATGTCAGGGGGCACTTCTCGCCTGGCCTGTTCATAAAGTGAAACCTTTTAGCAGAGAGGTCATTTAAATTCTCCAGCAAGAGCACATCTAAAAAAGCAATCCTTAGATCCATTTGCACCACTTAAAGATACCAGCTGGTCTCACTCACCTCACAAGATATCCTAAGGAAATCCTACAGATTTAAGAAAAGCTCACATGCCCCCCAGAAAGGCAGTAAAAAAATCAGTGCCAAGCTTGCATCCTGCCTCTTGGAAGTACACCCCAAAAGGACAGTGCCAGATACCACTAAAGCAGTGAAGGAAGACCCCCTCCCCAGATAGAAAAAGGAACCATGAGGCAGGAAAAAATTCAAACACAATACAAATAATTAAATCACAACAGTAGTTGTTGCTTGTTAAACCAATTACCAGAACAAATAGACACAGGAACTAGCCAGATTTCTCAACCCAGTTTCTTTTCAGGAACAGAGATTAATCGTTTTCCTTCAAAACAAAGCTGAATAGGGAAAATTATCCCATGAATAAACACAGGATTAAACATCACCAAGGACAGAATTAAACTTCACCAAAAACCAGTTTTAGACCAAAACTCAGAAAGGGTATGTAAACTCACATTTGAATGTCAATCTTTCTAGCTAGCCAAGAAGCCTTGCTGAATGTCACTCATCTTGGTTCCTTGTCATTAAAAAGCTTCTTTACGTAGCTCTGCTTCGTTATTCAATTATTTCTTCAAAGTGCTGATCATTGCATGCCGGCTGGAAGTATTTCTAGGCAGGGGTGGGATTCTACCAGTTCGCACCTATTCGCTAGAACCAGTTGTTAACATTCTAAGCAGTTCGGAGAACTGGTTGTTAGAAGAAATTACTGGCCTAATCCTGTAAGGAAGGCAGGAAGGAAACATTCTGGTATTGCTTACAGAAACTGCCTCTCCGTTAACCCTGATTACATTTTTGGCAGGACTAGACTTCCTGTCTCTGGAATATCTTTGGAGTTTTCTTTCTTTGCTGGTACTTTGCTTGTGTGGAGTGACCATTCAAAGTTACAATGGCACTGAAAAAAAGTGACTTATGACCATTTTTTACACAACTATTGCATCATCCCCAGAGTCATGAGAGGCCAGGTGAGGAGATGCATGCCTTGATGTGAGTGATATTGAGTTGGCCACGCCCAGCCAATAACATGACTGCCAAGCCATGCCCACCAACTAAGCCACACCCACAGAACCAGTTGTTAAAAAAATTTGAATCCCACCCCTGTTTCCAGGGGAGTATTTCCTCCCAACAGCAGTGTAAAAAGCTTAAAATAACCCTTTCCCTTTTATCAGGAAAGACAAAACACCTCCTTCGGAGACAGTAAGTCTAGGCATACTGCCAAGAATGTAATAAGGGTGGAAAAAAAAACAAAAGATTTCTTCTAACTACTGGTTCTCCAAACTGCTTAGAAAGTTAACAAGGGGTTTGTTTATAGAACCAGTCAGAACCGGTAGAATCCCACTCGGCAGAATCTCATCTGCCATCATCAGGCTTCTGTATTGTGTCCGTCTGGTCACAATTGTCTGGTCACAATTGTCTATATGGCATTCAGCTTTGTTCGGGTATTTTCCCACGTCATAGTAGTGGTGCTTTTAAAGTTTTTAAAGTTGTAGCAACGTTTCAGCAGAATCTCATCTGCCATCATCAGGCTTTTGTATAGTGTTCGTCTGTGAGTTAGACTTTTACAGTGGTTTCAGATTTAAATTTGGGGCAGCCTATTGCTGTGCCAGAATGGTTTGTTCTTCATCCTGATTGGTTGGGAGTCTTGGTCTGTGTTTATTGGTCTCGGAGTTTGCTGTGTTCTACTTGATGGGTGTCTCTGATATCTTCTGTCTGTTTTTTGGCTCTTTTTGTATCTTGATTGGCTGGCAGCATTGTGTTACTTTAATGGAGGTCTTTAGTGCAGCTTGGCTTCGGGTAAATGGACGGCTATCATTAGTTAGGAAGCTGGGTTTCATCTGGGTGCCTGGTTGGGGTGTGTTTGAGCTGGAGGTATCAGGGGGGATCTGTTTGTGCCCAGGTGTTTGCCTGGCTTGTGGTGTGGAGATTTTTTTGTTTGTGAGTGCAGGCTTCCAAATGATTGACAGCCTGGTGGAATCATCTCTTCTGTTCATGCTTTCTGGTCTTTTTTCAATCTCTATGGCTTCTCTGATGATTCTGTGGCTGGGATTTTCTATAGTGGCTAGGGTTTTGGTGCCAGGCTGTCAATCTGCAACAGTTTGAATTTAATTTACGGAATACAAACTAAAGAACCCTTTTCCAGTAGTGACCACAATATGATTGACTTTTGTCTCAACATACGTCCACACAAAAATCACCACAATGATGTAATCCCCTATTGTAACTTCAAAAAAGGCAACTATGATCTTATAGACAACGATCTCTCATCCCTTGATTGGCAATCTCTATTCACTGGATGCAATACCATTGAAGACCATTACAACATATTTTTACTTGAAGTCAAAAGAGTCATCAAACTATATGTTCCAACAACAACTCCCAAAACAAAACAAAAAAGCAGATTACCCATATCAATAAGGAAACTTCAATCCAAAAAGAGATCACTCTGGCGGAAAAACAAATCTGGTCACGTTACCAATTTCAAAAACCGATACAAAAATTTATGCCACCAGATAAAGACCGAATGCACCAATTATCACATTAAACAAGAGGAAAACCTTCTAAGCACCAATTCCACCCGTGCTTTTTACAATTTTGTAAACAACAAACTAAAAGACTCAAGGTCCATCCCTCCCTTGATAGGACCTGATGGTAAAGACTGCAACGACGACACCATTAAAGCCAACATCTTTAACACATTCTTCGGCTCAGTATTTGTAAACAGCAATGGATCATGCCCAGTATTTCCTAGCCGTACCACAGATAACAACAATGATCTAATACATATCGATTTCACAGAAGACAATGTTAAAAAATCACTACGCAATCTAAAACCATCTCTATCTATTGGACCGGATGGAATATGTGCCTACTTCTTAAGAAAGCTATCCACTGCCATAGCCAAACCTCTAAGCATAATCTTTGAAAAATCTTTCAGGACCAGCTCCTTGCCTAACCTATGGTCACAAGCCACAGTCATCCTCATCTTCAAAAAGGGAGACCCAAGCCTAGTTGAAAATTACAGGCCAATCTCCTTATGCTGCGTCACCTGTAAAGTCATGGAATCAATTATTAACCAATCCATCATCCTCCACTTAGAGACAAATAACCTACTCTCCAATAAACAATTTGGTTTCAGAAAAAAACTATCCTGTAATCTGCAACTCTTACACTGCAAAAACATATGGACGACACAACTCGACCAGGGCAAAGCAATAGACGCAATCTACATAGACTTCTGTAAAGCCTTTGATTCAGTGGTACACGACAAACTACTCCTAAAAATAAAATCCTATGGTATCTCTGGACAACTGAATAACTGGATAGAAGCATTCCTGTCAAACAGACAACAAATGGTCAAAATCGGGAGCGTCCTATCAAATCCAGTACCTGTCAATAGTGATGTCCCCCAGGGCAGTGTTCTAGGACCAACTCTCTTCATACTCTACATAAACGACCTCTGTGATCATATTAAGAGCAATTGCGTTCTCTTCGCTGATGATGTAAAGCTGTTCAATACCACAGACAATACTGCTACCCTACAAAAAGATCTTGACTATGTATCTGAATGGTCAAACAAATGGCAACTTCAAATCTCAACAAATAAATGCTCTGTCTTACATATTGGCAAAAAAAATCAGAAAATAAAATACAAGCTGAATAGTCAAGATCTTGTTGATGACCCAAGCTCTGTAAAGGACCTGGGAATACTCACCTCTAATGATCTAAGTGCTAGAGCCCACTGCAACTACATAGCCAAAAAGGCATTAAGAGTTGTTAACCTAATCCTACGTAGCTTTTTCTCTGGTAATATCACACTACTAACCAGAGCATACAAAACATTTGCTAGACCAATACTCGAATACAGTTCATCAGTCTGGAACCCACATTACGTATCTGATATTAGCACAATTGAGAAAGTCCAGAAATATTTCACAAGAAGAGTTCTCCACTCTTCTACTCGTTGTAGAATACCTTATGCCACCAGACTTGAAATTCTAGAACTAGAAAACCTTGAATTACGCCATCTTCGGTCTGACTTAAACATGGTATATAAAATCATACATTGCAATGTCCTACCTGTCAATGAATACTTCAGCTTCAACCATAACAACACAAGAGCACACAATAGATACAAACTCAAAGTAAACCGCACCAAACTTGATTGCAGGAAATACGACTTCAGCAATAGAGTGGTCAATGTCTGGAATACTCTACCCGACTCTGTAGTCTCTTCCCCAAACCCCAAAAACTTTAACCTTAGACTGTCTACTATTGACCTCACCCCTTTCCTAAGAGGTCTGTAGGGGGCGTGCATAAGCGCACCAACGTGCCTACCGTCCCTGTCCTATTGTTTCTCTTATTCTTTTATTTTTCTTATATGTACCCATTTCATGTATTCACAACTATGTATACACTTATACTTATTATCTTGTAAACAATTGGCAAATCAAATAAATAAATAAATAAATAAAATAAATAAGTATATATATAGTTAGTTATTCTTTAATAAATAAATGGTAAAAATAAAACACCTATCTGACCATCAACTATTTTTATTGCTATTCCTGACCATGTTTAGATTGTTAATTGAGGTGCACCTGTATGTATTCATGTGGACTAATATATTTTGAGATATTAACATAAAATGGATTAAAATTATGGGTGTGGATGCTTCAAAATGGATTTGAAACAAGCATTTGATCTTGCATTCAGCAGACTTTTCTGCTATTCATTATAACAGTGTTACTTTAAAGTTTCTGCAAGAGGTTGAAAAAATATTACTGCTTAATACTCAGTTTTGTATACAGTATAACTGAATTATATTAGCGAATGGATTTTTAAAGACCATTCCATGGTTTTGTCAGGCTTATGTGAAAACCTGAAAGAAGTCAAACCATTTCAATGAATAGTTGATGTATGCTGTTGCTCACACTAGTCCAAAGCATTTCTCCAAATCATTTTTATACTATACATACCATCCAAAATTTGTATCATCTATCTAAACATTGAAATGTTGATGCTGAGACCTCATTTTTTATTCTTTCAATTTTAGGTTGCAAAGTAGGACGTTATGGATATGCATGTGAAGAAGAATGTCCAGAATGCAGAAATTCCTCACTTTGTAACATGTTGACTGGCTTTTGTGATGAGAAAACCACCTGCCTGGATCATGATTCTCTAGAGAGTTGTTCTGGGTGTAAGTTTTTTTTAACTCAGTCATTAGGATAATATAAGCTATTAATTAATTTTCTGAGTGAAATGGCTCAAGAATGTTTCTGAGTGCTTCCATGTTTATGGTTCCTTTGTAACAACAGCAGTATTGTTATGATATGCTTTCTGACACACATTTTGTTTTATAGTAGTTTATCCTCTATATATCCACTAAAGTCCATAAAGTAATGCAAGTGTCAGCTACTTTCTTCCTCTACACAGGTAGCAATAGCTCTTAGACTTATATACGACTTCACAGTGCTTTACAGCCCTCTCTAAGCAGTTTACAGAGTTAGCATATTGTCCCAACAATCTGGGTCCTCATTTTACGGAAGGCTGAATCAACCTTGAACTGGTGAGACTCGAACTGCCAAACTGCAGGCAGCCAGTAGTCAGCAGAAGTAGCTTGCAGTACTGCATTCTAACTACTATGCCACCATGGCTCTTGCTTAATGGCTTGAGAACTCACTGGAATGTGATAATGAGAGAAAAGAGGTGGAGTGGGCTGCTGCAACTTTCCTGTGGTTGGTCATACAGGTGGGTAGATTGACAAGTGCCTGAATTTGTTGACTTGACCATGGGGGTGCTGCAGTGACCATAACTTCAGGCAGGGGTCCTAAGTTCTTTTATTCAGCACCATTTGATTAGTTGCTGAAAGAATGGTTATAAGTCGGTTTGTTTGTTTGTATATGTATTGAGCATATAAAATGCTTACATCATTCAAGCAAAAAAGCATTTGATTTTTTAACTGCAATTGTGTTTTTGAACAAAGACAAAAGTACCTGGGTTTGCCTATAAACAAATATTAAATTCTCCTTCATAGTCTGTTTATCTGTTAACTATTGTCTAATAGTATATTGGAGTGGGTGGGTGGGAATGATATGTATAGAGTGAATGGTCTGAAAAGTCAAGCTTTATGATAAAAAAATGAATGCATTACATTAATGATGTAACTAATTGCTCATTTGATATCAGGATAAAATTACCTGTTATGTATTTATTTTTAAAGCCACTGTCAGTGAGAGATGTCCAGATATGACTAAATGGCGCTACTGGCATAGATACTGTTATTATTTTGTAAGTTCTTTTGATACATGGGAAGAGGCAAATTCTTCCTGCAGTCGGTTTAGAGCTGCTGAACTTCTATGGATTGAAGACCAAGATGATTTGGTAGGATTAGTACTAAATATTCTTTCTGATGAATTTTTAAAATTATGTTACTGGTATGTTCCAAATACATAATTATTTTCAGAACAATACCATATTTTTCAGAAACCTTGAAGGATTTGATTCATATTCTACTGAAGTTAAGAACTGTAGCAAGAATTTAAATGAATTAACAGTTTTTAAATACCAGTCATGGGTAGTACTCATGTGGTATATCAGCAAGCACATACTTTCTTCCATATATTTTTTAAAAATGTATTGGGTTTAATCTAGAATTTGAAAGACAAAAAGTAACAAATTAAAATAATTAAAAGGAAATAGACTCCAGTGGAAATTAACCCAAAGCGAAACCAATACAGAAAGGGGGAAAAGAAAGTGCATGTTGAAATAAATATTCATTCAACAAACAAAAATCACACTATAGATATTGATCAGATTCTCTATAACTTTGATAAAAAGCCATATCGTATGTAGAAAATGAACATTTGTTCAATCCAGAACTTTGGATCAAAGGTATACTAATATTTCCATCAGACTAAAGCATAGTTTTATGATGCAGCCTAACTCTAATACATTCAAAGTTATTCTCATTTAATTTATTAATTAATAGTATTAATTATTAATTTTATTTCTCATTTTTATCATTTTCTCTTAGTACTATATTAGCAGCTTTATGAACCATAAACCAAAATAGCACCAGTACAGAACAAGACCAGATTATATAAGTCTGTGTTCTCTTCAAAGTATTACATTTCCAACATACCAAAGTAGAAACTCCACTTTTTCCATATAACTTGGAGACAAGAGGGGAAGCTGACCAATAAACACAAAAATGAAAGATTTGTTGAAGTAATGGCATCTTGAGATGACAGCACATTTATATAGTATTAGCCCATTTGTTTGAGAAAACAATGTTCCAACTTGTTCCATATTGCCTTTAAATTCCCTAAAGCTATCTTATTACAGTTTTTTAGCTATAGATATTAAGTGTAGATTTGGAAACCTCTAAAGCATTTTCTAGTTTAACTGGAAGCCCAGATTGTAAAGTCATAATGTTTTATTAGTTTTAGGCAATCAAATTATTTTTGAAATATTAAAAATGTTAAAAAGTTGATTAATTCCAATTTTTGCCCATAAACCAAAAGAAAAATATAGAAAATGGCTTTTGTATCTTATAAAAACAGAAAGCAGAGAAAAAGAAGCAAAAAATAATCATATTCTCAATAATTGCAAAATATCTGTAAATTTAAATATATTTAAATCTATATCGCTGTTTAATGTTTCATCTTAATTTTAATTGAAGAAATGGTTGAAAATGTTTATCATACAGCCAATATGGGTAGGATTGCAAGAATTAAATCGAGATGGAATCTGGGCTTGGTCTCATGAAGATAGTGCACAACGTTCATTGACATGGTATGTATTATAATATTTTAGTGTTTCTTAGATTATATCCTATATTAGCACTTCAAACACTGTCTTCAGTCTAGCCATGTAAAGTAAAAAGTCAAGTCTGATTCCAAGTTGCTACATGGATACATCCAGACTGTTTTCTTGGCAACCATATGGAAATGATTTGCCATTGATTTATTATAGGATAGATTCCCCCCCATCCTTATAGCACTGAAATTTCCTGATGGTCTCCCATCCAAGTAATAATCAAGTCCTATCCCGCTTAACTTTACAAGATTAGCCAAGGGAATTAGATACTGTTATCAAAAATTGTGGTATAGTTTTATATTAAATGCTTACAAATAGTTAGAAAAAAGCTCAGCATAAAGTACCCAAAAATAAGGTGATGCAGATGTTTAATATGATCTTAGATTTACAAAATATTTGAAGCAAGCTAGCAAAATATTAGGAAAGAGTAGACGTAAATTTTGGGAAATTGCAGATATATTCATATATGGAAAGATTTTTTTTTCCTACAGAGGGTGATGAAGATTAAGATAAAAATCCATTTTCACTTATAGTCGTTGAATCTGCTCTATACATCAAAAACATCTAATAAACCAGCAACAGATGTTACCACCATATGGCATCACTGTAACACACAAACCAACTAAAGCTCTCTAAAACATCAAAAGACCTAGCTATCCCAGAAGAAAAAACAGAAGTCATCTACAATATACAGCGTAAGGAATGTTGGAGAAACAGGCAGAAAACTAGCAGAGCGTATTCCTGAACACCAATTAGCAGTCAGAAGATCTGATGAAAACTCCTTAATTTCACAACACATGAAAGTGTGAGCATCCTAGGCCAAGTCAAAAATGCTAGATAATTCATGGAAGCCTGGCACTCCAACAAATCAGCCATCAACAGGCATATAAAGATAAACAACATCTACATACCATTTAAAAGAGACAATCAAAAAGCCCAAAAGGAAACAGACACCTCATGACCAGCAATCAACATCCAAATGAACAGAGGTTAACAAAATTAGACCAACAATCAAATAAACAGCACCCCAATCAAGGAACTACCAACTCAGACAAATAAGCTTACAGTAAATAACAGCCTATCAAGGAAACACCAACACTGACAGGACAAGATATTAGTACATAAAAAGAGCAAATCCTGTTCCCTTCTAACATTGATAATGTTACCTATTTTGGTTAAGAAATGCTTGCAAGAAAACCACCAAGCTTAGAGATCACCAAGTTGAATCTCTTTTTGCATTTGAATATTGCTTTGGATGATGGCTTAGGCCTAAAAAGAAGTTTACAAGAGCATACTACAGGTGAAACTCAAAAAATTAAAATATCATGCAAAAGTTCATTTATTTCAGTAATGGAACTTAAAAGGTGAACCTAATATATGAGATAGACTCATTACATGCAAAGCAAGATAGTTCAAGCCGTGATGTGTCATAATTGAGATGATTATGGCTTACAGCTTGTGAATACCCCAAATCCACAATCTCATAAAATTAGAATATTGTGAAAAGGTTCAATATTCTAGGCTCAAAGTGTCCCACTCTAATCAGCTAATCAGTCTGGTTCAGTAGGAATCACAATCATGGGAAAGACTGCTGACCTGACAGTTGTGCAGAAAACCATCACTGACACCCTCCATAAGGAGGAAAAGCCTCAAAAGGTAATTGCAAAAGAAGTTGGAAAAGTGCTGTATCAAAGCACATTAATAGAAAGTTATGTGGAAGGGAAAAGTGTGGAAGAAAAAGGTACACAAGCAGCAGTGATGACCACAGCCTGGAGAGGATTGTCAGAAAAAGGCCATTCAAAAGTGTTGGGGACTTTCATAAGGAGTGGACTGAGGCTGGTGTCAGTGCATCAAGAGCCACCAACCACAGATGGATCCTGGACATGGGCTTCAAATGTTGTATTCCTCTTGTCAAGCCGCTCCTGAATAACAAACAACGTCAGAAGTGTCTTACCTGGGCGAAAGAAAAACAGAACTGGTCTGTTGCTCAGTGGTCCAAAGTCCTCTTTTCTGATGAGAGCAACTTTTGCATCTCATTTGGAAACCAAGGACCCAAAGTCTGGAGGAAAAATGGAAAGGCACACACTGCAAGATGCTTGAGGTCCAGTGTGAAGTTTCCACAGTCTGTGTTGATTTGGGGAGCCATGTCATCTGCTGGTGTTGGTCCACTGTGCTTCATTAAGTCCAGGGTCAACGCAGCCGTCTACCAGGAGATTTTGGAGCACTTCATGCTTCCTTCCACAGATGAGCTTTATGGGGATGCTAACTTCATTTTCCAGCAGGACTTGGCACCTGCCCACACTGCCAAAAGCACCAAAACCTGGTTCAATGACCGTGGGATTACTGTGCTTGATTGGCCAGCAAACTTGTCTGACCTGAACCCCATAGACAATCTATGGGGCATTGCCAAGAGAAAGATTAGAGACATGAGACCGAACAACGCAGAAGAGCTGAAGGCCGCTATTGAAGCATTCCTGGTCTTCCATAATACCTCAGCAGTGCCACAGGCTGATAGCTTCCATGCCACGCCGCATTGAGGCAGTAATTGCTGCAAAAGGGGCCCAAAGCAAGTACTGAGTACATATGCATGCTTATACTTTTCAGAGGTCCGATATTGTTCTATGTACAATCCTTGTTTTATTGATTGCATGTAATATTCTAATTTTCTGAGATTGTGGATTGGGGGTTTTCATGAGCTGTAAGCCATAATCATCGCAATTATGACAAATCATGGCTTGAACTATCTTGCTTTGCATGTAATGAGTCTATCTCATATATTAGGTTCACCTTTTAAGTTGCATTACTGAAATAAATGAACTTTTGCACAATATTCTAATTTTTTGAGTTTCACCTGTAAATGTTTTTCCTATGTGTTTTATTTGGATTAGCTGGTTAGTACTAATATTTCCACTGTTCTTGCCAGGTTCCTGTCTTATATATTACATCCTGTTCTGAATTTTCATTAGATTTTGAGTTTGTGATTATGCTTCATTTTTCACTGTGATTTTTATGGCCATGCTTTAAGTATAAATCTGTTCACTTCCTTGATGTAATCTTTTACTATTTCTTGATAGGATGAATCTTCAACTAAGCCTTAGGTGGAAAGGATGTGTAGAACTTTCACATGGAGGTGATTTCAAAGCAGAACACTGTTACGAAAAGAAAAAATCAGCATGCAAAAGACCAGCTGAACGAGGTTTGCAGTTTGTCTTTTTACAGTAGTTTGATGTAGAAAAATACAGATGAACATATATCTATTTTTTATGAAAAAGAAGAAAGAAAGAAAGAAAGAAAGAAAGAAAGAAAGAAAGAAAGAAAGAAAGAAAGAAAGAAAGAAAGAAAGAAAGAAAGAAAGAAA